ACGTTAGAGTGTAATCTTCAATGTTGAAACACTCTAGACTTCCAAGATGCTCTTTTTATGCAAGCTATAGTGATGACACTCGGTGGAACAAGCGGATGGCACCAAGGACGGCAACTCAACAGAACCTGTCTTTGTGATTCGTTGTTATAACAATAAAAATTTAGTAGAAACAAAGTTATCATTTAGCAGCACGACAGTTCCGTGCACAAAAGAGAAAGTAACAAAACCCAATGATGGATGATCGACAAGCAGGGACGACAATACCGCAGATAAGGCTGCTGTAGCATTCAGTCCACAGGAGGAAGTAAAGAAGGCTGTTACTAAGCAGGAAGCAGGCGGAGGCATGTACTATGCCCACCGATCGGGAAAATTTACCAGAACCATTGTTACTTTTAAGTGGTATGTTCCACTGAGTAGTCTGTGTGTAGGCGACGGAAGGGACTGCGAATAACGCTGCCCGTTCGTGCTTCCGTTGCTGTTTTCAGGATTCTTTATCGGATATCTTGATGCATTGAATTTATAACGAATTTTCTGAACAGTTAGTCTCTATCGTTTAACTGCTTTTTGAACAATTTTACAAGTCTATAGGCATAGCTTTAGTGTATTCATACAGGACTCCAACCCTGGTACTACACTTTCCCTTTCTCCCTTATTTCGCCGCACTCGTTCTTTCCCAGCTGCCCAACCCATTAAGGGCTGACCCATTTCCCTCTTGCTTACGTTTGCTATATCGACTCCATTTGCTTATCGACTACATTTATTTCCTACTCTATGGAGGAGAAGAAAGGTTCAGCCAACAACAGTGTTAACAAACCAGCGAACTTTCAGAGGCTCTAGTAAAACTGTGGAGGTAGATCAACTTGCTTCATCTTCCCCGGCATCGCCAACCTCCAGGATGAACACCTCGACCACAAAGGCGCTGCTACAAAATAAGGAAGTTCTAAATGTTTCTAAAAAAAGCTGTAAAAGTATGTAAATCTAAGGACACTTAAAATTCACAAAGATCATTTAGCTTCTACTAACAACAGTCCCACAGAAGTACACAACAGA